GTGGGAGGTATTTCGTAGAGACCTTATATTTAAGTGTACCAGACGGAAATGGGGGGACTTTGGAATGTTATAATTTTGCGGAGTGTCCCGTTCTATACTAAGGTCTTTCAGGGTCGAGTGTTCATTCCAAGACCTGCCTTCAGTGGTAGGAATGTCGATCATATTGGGATTTCGTAAAAGCTTGTTTTGCTTGGTATTTCGTTTGTTAATTAATTTAACATTGTGATTCGTAATCCTCACAGGTATCGGATAGACTTTATCAGAATTTCGTGAGGGATCGACGTGGCATGCTTCGTTATCTAGACCCATGTTCCATTCTGGTCTACAGTACGATTGATGGGTTGGTAGGCTTGGCGGAAGTATTGTTTGTAAATGGGTGATTGGGGACGTTGGCTCAGAGTTGACTGCTGTGGGTGGTGTACATGGAAAGGCGGGAATTGATTCTGGCCCAATGACTGGTAGGTAAGTGGTTTGTTTAGGCAATGTGATTGGTACGATGGTAACTTCCTTAGGTGTTTTACCTGATATGGTGGTGGGCTGTTTACCGTGTCCGATATTTGGCCGGTGTATGGTTTGTCAATCTCCGGTGAAAAGGAGGCCTGTTTCTGCGATCAGATTTCCGGCGGTTAGCGCTGTTATTAGTGTTGGCTTTTGGTGGGAAAGTCCGCCGGTTGTCCTGTCTACTCGAGCCAAAGGAGGACTTTTGGGATTTTGGGTTTTTTGTAGAAATGTGGGGCCGATTGGTTTGAGTGTAGTTACTGGATACTTTGGTTTCTTTTGGATATGTGTTCTTATGTATATCTCTGTGTTTCGCTTTATATGAACGTAGCTGTTCGTTCAGATGGTAGTGGGTGTATCTTTGCTTTGTTGTTGTCTATATGACCTGATTTGCATCTTTTGATCTTTAATCGCTCGAGTATTGCCTTTGTTTTTATATGAAAGAGGGGTGGGTTCTTTGTGCATATGGTCGTTATCATTAGCCTGTTTGACATTTGGATTTGTGGGGGCGGTAATTGCCGGATTTTCCTCGGCCTCGTTAGGCTTGCAAGTTGAGGGTATCGTATCTTCGAGTAATATGATGTTAGGAATTTGATCTTTATCCGGATTTAGCTGTCGTTCGCCTGTTCCTTTATTGACCATACGTTTGATTTCAATTAGGTCTCTTTCCATCTGTTTTATTTTTCCTGTTTCCTTTGAGAATTCTTGCATTTGCAATTCAAATTTGTTAATGTTGTGGCCAGGGAATGAACGACCTTCTTGTACGTTTGCTAAAGATTGTAGGGCATCGGTTTTTGATTGTAATATCTCGATATCGAGTCTAATACCGTCGAGATCAGTTGTGATTTGAGTGCATGAACACTGATCAGAAGGTTTTTTGGGTGGCTCGCTACTTGCTCCGCTCTCGTCATTCAAGCGTGGTAGGCCAAGGCCAAGCGTTGCTTCGCCCATTAAGATGTTACAAAACTGCTTTTTGATTCTATTGGCTTCTCTGCCACTGAGTTGGAGCTTCTTCTGTTTTCTCCACCACATTATTGTCGTTTGGCCATTGCTGTAGGATTTTCGCTCGTCTCCCGGTGATTTCCAAGTACCGTTAAGATCAATATTCAAATCTACAAATCGTTTGAGTGATTCGAAATCTCCTGTGTGTTGGACACGGATTGCAAATTGAAATCTCATAGTTTACTTCTGATGGCTTATCATAAAAATGTTTAATATATGTTCAATAAGGTTATAATTAAATCTAATGTAAGTTACGTTTAATTTTCTCACATATCAGCAATAGCCTTCCTGATGTGACACTGTAGTTAGCTGTTCGAATTGCGTATCAGTGTGACTTTGTAGCTAATAAAATTATTGTCGGAATTATTGTCAAAGTTATTGTCAGGATTTAAGACTGTAATAATATATCGATATCGACAAAGTAATCTTTATGCAAGTAGGGGCAATTAAGGGCGGACTTGATCTGAAATGTTCTTTCCATTATGGATCAATGACTGCCGAAAATTGAGACCGCGAAGAAAAATTTCCATTGCCCGAGAAATTTTTTCTAAATAAGTTTAGCTATTCAATGTAGTAAAATAGTTTAGGCAATACTGAATCCAAGCGATCTAAGATTTTTATTGCAGGAAACTCCAAGGCAGATTTTTTTAAAAGCATGATTACCAGACCAATCATTTTCGAAATCCACCTGCTTTTTAAAAATTATTCATATTACGGGAAAGTGGAGAAAGAATGTATTGCTGGCCAAATTCTGCATGAGACGGTAAAAAATAGTTTGTTCGAAATTTGAAAACATTTAGTTGATGGCAATATTTTGATCACTCATGACTGCCATGACGTCACCTCGTAGGACATCGCCCCATCCCTCGGGTTATTGTATAGAAATCTTGACTAATATCCCATATTTTAAAATCTACTATCAGTTACTTTAAAATTGCAAGAATCGGAAAGATAATTTTTGTGTAAAGAGCATACTGTTCACTTGGGTGGAAAATGAGCGCCGCCAAACCAAAAGTCAACTTTGACCCTGTTCACACGTATCCGGATAATTTAAAAACGGAGCTTTTTTCTCCGTTTCAGTTAAAAAAATTCGCGTCCACATGCACGAAGCGTAATGGTCGACAATGATGGTCGACAAAAAATTCTGAAGCATTCAGAAACTAGAAACTAGAACAACACTAGAAACAATTTAACTCCGGCTTTCTAGTATTACACAAATTTTTTAAACGTTCTAACAAAAGGTCATGTGAATTAATGACTGCAAACTAAATGTCAAATTTGCAACAACGCTAACTTGAACTAAATCTCTCTTATGTAAAGCGCAACTAGTTTGGAATTGGATTTCCGCATGTCCTTAAACCATGTGGTAGGATGTAGGCCATTACTCATTTCAGTAGTTAAAGTTCACACCAAGTATATTGCTATCGTCTCATTTCCTTATGCAATTGAAATCCATCTGATACAAAAGCTGGGCTCATTATTAAACTGCCTGTTTCATTTTCTGTTTTTTAAATCGTATTTGGCAATAAAATGTATTGCAAAATCGCATATATATAGTTAGCTTCTTAGTTGTAATGAAAAAATATATATTCATGCAGTAAGTAATTAAATCTGATGTAAGTTTGCTTTTAATTTTCTCATATATCTGCAATAACTCTCTTTGATGCAAACTGTGCTGTCCGAATTGTTTATGTGACTTTGTTAGTTATTCAATCCTAGCGTAGACTAAAATAATTATCTGTTGTATAATGTTTGCAATTTACGACTGTATTAATCACCGATATCCACAATTAAGGTAGGCTTTAAACAAATAATTAAGAGCAATTAGGGGGCGGACAGCGGACTTGATTGCGTTAATCTGAAATGCTCACTGAACAAGAATGCACCGAAAACGGAGATCACCGCTATAAATTAACCCCTAAAACTTCAAATTATTCAAAATAATTTAACTCATTCAATATAGCTAGTAATATAATTCAGACGATTCAAGTATACGAACTATATGCATTTTATTGCAGTTAACTTGAAGGCAAATATTTTTTACATGATTTTACATGATTACAAGAACAGGCATCGTAAGAGTCCACCTGCATGCTTGACCTAAATTATTTATATATTAGGGAAAAGTGTAGAAATTTATTTTTACTCCTAGCAGACCAGTCTCTGTATGAGATGGCAAAAAAGAATTAAAAGTTATTTATATTATAATGTAGATATAGAAACTGGGAGGGCGTTTCCTACAGCTCCGCGCGAAAATTTTTAAGAATGTCTTGATTAGCCAATGATTGCATGTGAGCCTAGTATAGATAATTTTGTGCCATTTCGCTTCTTTGTTTACTTTAATAGTTTACTATACTGTGACATCAAAAAACAATTTCTTATAATAGGGGATAGCTTGATTACTGTAGCTTTCTTCGCCAGATAAAAACTGGAGATACAGGCAAACATGCACCTTATTCTTGCAATCTGAATGTACCACATAGTACATTTTAAAATGTAAGAGATTATTCCAATATCTGTGTGGTATAATTAATTCACGTCGGTAGCGAACATGGGGTAACCAAAACATTAACGCATGCAAAAACACAAAATTTAAATTATGCGTGTAAAAATTCGACGTCATATGCGGCATAATCGCACGATTTACAGTAAAGCTATATTGCATGCATCCAATCATTGATGCGGCAAGTGGAATATTTTATCACTTGTGTTGTTATACTTGTGTATTTTCTATTAAAGACTTGCGTATTTTTTGCTTTTACTGATTTGCGTATTACACCGACTCACTATAGCCAGGTAGACTGCACATATACCGGCATCACCGACCTTTCACTGTCTATTTATTGTTTATTACTGCCAGATGATCTGGTCTCACATCTTGCATGAACTGTAAAATTGGTAAAAATTCTGGGATTAGCCTTAACAGCTCATCTTAAATAGATAAATCATTGTGAACGGAAAAGTTGTCGCTTTCTACAGCTCTTTACAGCCCTTTATCTCTTATAAAACAAATGCAATGTTCACGATCTCTAGCTCATGGTGTGCATTTGTCATGGATATCGATAATTATATAAAGCATATTAAAATTCGATTTTCACATGCATGCCTGCCAGGTATTGCTCTCAACCTCACTTCGTTACGATGGAAATCTGATTTTTTTATATTATCAACTGTCTTGTCAAAATTGTATTGGACATTGCAAATTGAACTTCGTCTCATAATTTCAGTTAGCAGATCCTTTTAGTATCCACTATTAAAATGAAACTTTTGCTGGAATTTCCATAATAATTATGTTGAAGCCTTCAAATTAAGGTCTCGCTTTCAATTTTACGCATCCGTAGGTTTAGCATAATAAAAGCATTCAAATTGTAACAAAAGCTTGATTTCAATAGGGGCCCGCGGGTACGTTTTTACACCTTTTAAAAGTAACTCCGCAAATGAACGGTTTATTAATTTGCTCTGCAATTCAACGCGCCAACTTCGCCTATTGTATATAAAAAATGAACGCCACAAAACCAAAAGAGATGTTCGTTAAATCTTGCCAAGTTTTAAACGATAGGGAAGAGTTGATCGTTGATTTTCCTTCGATGGAAAGCCAGCTTGAGCATGTGATAATGCTCGTCCTGTGCGTCCTGTTTTTCTTTATCTCCGTGATTCTCAATGGCGTTTCCGCAGTAACAATTTTGACAACTCCCATACTGAAGGATAAAATCTCATACTTAACCGTCATGGTTAAATCAATCATCGATTTCATTCTCGGGCTAACAATCCTTCCACAATATATCGTACTGCTAGCCATGGAAATCGCAGGAAATCCAAACTGCGTCGCCTATCTCTTCGCTAAAAAGTTGGGAGTCCTTTTATACATCTATTCTGTGACAGCATTGTCGGCGATGAATTTCGAAAGATACATGGCTACTATTCATCCGGTGACTCATCGCAACAAGTTCAAGAAAGAAAAACTACTGATGTACCTTCTCTTTGTCAGCCTTTTCGCAACGGTCCTATTTGGACTTTCCTTCATCTACGTTAATATACTTCCTTTCGTTCTCGCTGCTACAGTACTTCTTCTTATCGCCTCCACGATTTATGTGTACACAATGATTTCCATTTCTCGGGTGCGCTACTGGATAAAAAGTAGAAATGCGATCGGACCACAAAATATTGCAGAGACTAATGATAGAACGCGACAATTTTGGAGATCCATGAAGTCTTCGAATGAATTTAAAGTCGCCAGCTGGTGTCTTCTCATTGTGGTTTTCACCCTCTCCTGCATCTTGCCATCAACTGTTTCGTACACGAATCGATTAGGAACACAACCAAGTTACTCTGCAGTCTCAAAAAGGCGACATTATTCTCTTCTTATCCTGTTCAACTCGGCCCTCAACCCAGTCATATTCTTTTGGAAAAACAAAACATTGAGAACGGCGGCAATAAAAATGTTAAGAAGACAAATCGAAAACTAGTACTTTTAGTGCCACTAAATTGATAGAACTAGTAAATTTCTGGGAACTTACTACAAACGAACAGTTTATTTATGGAACTGTGTGCATGTGTAGAGACGCTTTGCTTAATGTACTTGTTGGCTTTAGCTAGTTTTGAAAACATTCTTCGACCGAATTACGCGTCTAGGTTATTCACGGTTGATATCGAATATGCCACAAAGATTGATAACCATGCAAGGCAAACTTAGTTCAAAATTTGATTTTACATGTCCTTAAACCTCGCAGTAGGATGTCAGTATATATAGCTAAATTTCACACATTGTTATCGTCTCACTTCCTCATGACTGAAATCCGATCTTATAATATAAAAGCCGGGCTCATTATAAAACTGTCTGCGTGTTTCATTTTCAAAATGTTGTTGGACACGGATTGCAAATTGAAATCTCATAGTTTACTTCTGATGGCTTATCATAAAAATGCTTGATACAGGTTCAATAAAGTTATAATTAAATCTAATGTGAGTTACGTTTAATCTTCTCACATATCAGCAATAGCCTTCCTGATGTAACACTGTAGTTAGCTGTCCGAATTGCGTATGTGACTTTGTAACCAATAAAATTATTGTCGGAATTATTGTCAAAGTTATTGTCAGGATTTATGACTGTAATAATATATCGACATCGACAAAGTAATCTTTATGCAAGTAGGGGCAATTAGGGGGCGGATTTGATCTGAAATTTTCTTTCCATTATGGATCAATGACAACCGAAAATTGAGACCGCTGAAAAATTTCTATTGCCCGAGAAAATTTTTCTAAATAAGTTTAGCCATTCAATGTAGTAAAGTATTTTAGGCAATACTAAATCCAAACGAGCTATGATTTTTATTGCAGGAAACTCCAAGGCAGATTTTTTTACATGCATGATTACCAGATCATTCATTTTCGAAATCCACCTGCTTCTTAAAAATTAATCATATTACGGCAAAGTGGAGAAAGAATGTATTGCTGGCCAAATTCTGCATGAGACGGTAAAAAAATAGTTTGTTGGAGAAATTTGAAAACATTTAGTTGATGTCAATATTTTGATCACTCATGACTGCCATGACGTCACCTCGTAGGCATCGCCCCATCCCTCGGGTTATCGTAGAAATCTTTGACTAATATCCCATATTTTAAAATCTACTATCATTTACTTTAAAATTGCAAGAATCGGAAAGATAATTTTTGAGTAAAGTGCATACTGTTCACTTGGGTGGAAAATGAGCGCCGCCAAACCAAAAGTCAACTTCGACCCTGTCCCACATGTATCCGGATATTTTAAAAACGGAGGTTTTAAGATTACTTTAGCTTTCTTCGCCCGATAAAAACTGGAGATAAAGGCAAACATGTACCTTATGCATAGGTTATATTTCCAATTCTTGCAATCTGAATGTACCACATAGTACATTTTAAAATGTAAGAGATTATTTCAATATCTGCCAGGTATAATTAATTCACGTCGGTGGCGAACATGAGGTAACCAAAACATTAATGCATGTAAAAACACAAAATTTAAATTATACATGTATGGGCTATGAAGCAAACATATTTCCTATATGCATTTAACTTTTAGACTGTTTACAGTTAGTTTGTAGCATTTGTTTTAAATTCGCCGTCGTCATCAGATTTTTCGCAACCATTTATTGAATGTTGACAATTAGTTATTCACCTGCAATTTTATTACTGCAGTGCCTCTAATTTACTTTCGATAAATGCAGTTCAGAGTAACGGCGAACAAGCCAGTCCAGCTTATTAATTACCATTAAGTGGATTAACATATCGTTGACTGGCCTGGGCAATTGCGAACATATACACTTGCATATACTTGCGTATACTTGTATATACAGTACTTGCATGATTCTAATATTTTATTCTGAGGGCCACAAGTTTGTCAGCCCCTGGCTGTAATGTGTTTTACCCTTGTGAAATAAAGTCATTCATTCATTCATTCATTCACTCATTCATTCATTCATTCATTCATTCATTCATTCATTCATTCATTCATTCATTCATTCATTCATTCATTCATTCATTCATTCATTCATTCATTCATTCATTCATTCATTCATTCACTCATTCATTCATTCATTCATTCATTTATTCATTCATACACATACATAGGGCAGCATAGCTAGACATATTTTTGAAGTCATGGTGTGCTGCAGTTTACACAGGCAGTAACCTTGAAGCATTATAAACTGAAATCCGTATGCTCTGTCCTTTGTGCAATACTTTGGGCAAATCTTAATTGATGCACTAGCTCAAGATTCAAGAATCTATAATACCCTCTTGAAACGCGTATCTGCTTAGCCTATGTTGTTCTCCGGTATGAACTTATGTAAATGCGTCCAACGGAAAAGGTATGGCAAGGTTAAAGTTGAAACAGCTGCCACTTTCGCCTTTTGCTCCCTTATCTTGGTTGGGTACAACGCCACAAAATCAAAAGTGATGTTCATCAAATCTTGCCTTATTTTACACGATGGAGAAGAGTTGATCGTCAGTTTTCCCTCGCATGAGCATGTGATAATGCTCGTCCTGTGCGTCCTGTTTTTCTTTATCTCCGTGATTCTCAATGGCGTTTCCGCAGTAACAATTTTGACAACTCCCATACTGAAGGATAAAATCTCATACTTAACCGTCATGGTTAAATCAATCATCGATTTCATTCTCGGGCTAACAATCCTTCCACAATATATCGTACTGCTAGCCACGGAAATCGCAGGAAATCCAAACTGCGTCGCCTACCTCTTCGCCAAAAAGTTGGGAGTCCTTTTATACATCTATTCTGTGACAGCATTCTCGGCGATGAATTTCGAAAGATACATGGCTGTCATCCATCCAGTGACTCATTGCAACAAGTTCAAGAAAGAAAGAATATTGATGTACCTTTTCCTCGTCTGTGTTTTCGAAACGATCCTATTTGGCCTCCCCTTTATCTACATCCGCATACTTCCTTTGTCTCGCTGCTACAGTAGCTAATTCTTCTTAACGCCTCCACGATTTATGTTTATACAGTGATTTTCGTTTCTCAAGTGCAATCTCGTTTGGGCAGCATTGTAGGGACCACAAGAGAATGAAGAAACTAAAGATAGAACGCAACAATTGTGGAGATCTATGAAATCTTCGAAAGAATTTAAAGTTGCCAAAAATTGCTGCGTCTTGCGTTCAACAATTTCATACATCGATCGATTATGAACACAACCAAGTTTTTCTGAAGTCGTAAGAAGACGATGTTTTTCTCTTCTTATCCTGTGCAACTTGGCTCTCAACCCAGTGATCTTCTTTTGGAAAAACAAAACATTGAGAACGGCGGCAATAAAAATGTGAAGAAGATAAAGCGAAAACTAGTACCTTTAGTGCTATTATACATAATATACGAGTAAATTTGTTGGAACTCATCTTTAATCGAACAGTTTAATTAATTATTGAACAGTGTGTGTGTGTGCGCAATTGCAGTATACTCACGGATCTATTACAATCTTGCAGCATAGGCTATGAATAAGCCATGATTATGTACGCCTGGTTTTAACAACGACTATAACTATTTATGTACATACTCTAAAGGTTTGCATTTTAAATCGAAGGGTATTTATTCGATAAAACATTGTGATAAAGCTTTAACAGCCTAATGTACATATTTGAAGGAAGACTTGATTTGAATAATTCAAGGCCTATTTTAGGCCCGTTTCAGACGCCAAACGTACCGTTACCGATATTTTTCGCACGAAGCGACATTTCACATTTGTTTCAGAGCTCTTAACTGCAACCATCTGGAACAAATTCGCCAAATATAAAAGAATATAGTCGATGCGCGAAAAAATATCGCTAGTGGAAAACCAGCTTTAAGGCCCAAACAGACAGGACGCGATTTGTTTGGCAATTAATGCGGCGCGATTTTTATAAGTATTTTATTTTCCAAAAGCAAATAAATAGTAACCTATCATAATATTCTTGTAGATTACGTAAATATAATACGTTATGACTGCTCTGGCGCCTGTAGATTCCAAATTTTGCTTCCAGAATTTCATTTAGCTATGTGTTTCTGAAACCTGAAACTGCACGATTCTCGTCGCGTTGCCGCTTTGCGTCCGGTCTGTGCGGGCCTTAATTTATGGGAACGAGGCTCCGGTTTTCCAATTTCCAGTAGCGATTGATAATTTTCGCGCGAAGCGCGGACATTTTACTTTTGTTTCAGAGCTGTCAGCTGCAACCATCTGGAACAAATAGCCCAAAAACAAAAGAATAAAGTCACTTCGCGCGAAAAATATCGCTCGTGGAAAACCAGCTTAAAAAGTCATGCTTCTCATGTACCGAACGCAATAACAACAGTAGATGATGCCAAGATGCATCTCAATTTATTATAACTATTCACGGTTTTAAGTGCGTTTGGCACAGGAGAAGCACGACGTTTAAAACAGGCCAGAAACACTTAAACCAAGAATTTCATAATCCAAACTGGCCCAAACATTCATTGTTTGTAAAAATAACCATACAGCCGGTATACGTTGCTGGATAACCGGGCCAAAGTTAAAAAATTCGACAGGTTTACCCAACTGCACATGTGTGACTCATTGTCTTATTTGCTATTACCTTTTCCTTTACTATTGCCCTATTCTCGAAATGTGACATGAAAAAAAAACCCGAATACAACCTCAAAGAGACTTCTCTAAGATGATAAAGATTGTTTAACTAAATAAAGCACATTTAAAATTAAAAGCATTGCCCTGCTAATGATAAATCTTACTTGAAGACAAACTACCATAGAATTAAACAATTGAAATAAGGTTCTTTATTTGAAACCCATGGAGCCTTTAAGAGGGTTAAATGGGGAGCTGGTATAACTATGTTATATTTAACATGTAAGAACATGTTGAACTTGGATTCATTATCAAAGAATTCAGACTTGCAATTCCTGCTCTGGACTTTGGAAATTAGATCAAGTCTGTCCTGATAAATCCATGATGTAAAATAATGATTCATA